ACCTGATGGTAGGGACACCAGCGTCGGGGTTCTCGAGTGCGTACGGGTAACTCTGCTAGGGGATCAACCGGAGGGGAAGCTGCCGGAGATCGACCCTCGCGAGGAGTAGAAGAGCGAGGTTTAGGCCCTGCCTCGCTCGAGAAACTGACCAAGGGTTTCTCTACCCGCCCGGCATAGTGCCGATGGTGCCAGACTTTTTGGGCTGCTTCGACCACCCGGTAAAGTGGCTGATCCTCTATCAACAGGAGCTTTTCCCGCAGCCAGGGTGGGAGTCCCTGGAGAAAAGTTCTCCTCATCAGAGGTTCAGCTGGCCCAAGTTCACCAGGATAGTCGCGCATGCCTTGATATACCATGGTCTCGACCGCGAGATAGAAGTCCCTAGGGGAAGTGTCGCCGAGTACGTACGACCCCAAATGCCGAAGGTACTCCATCGACGAGCACGTCCCCCGTAGACGTTGCCGAAGGGTTTCCTTAAACTCGTCCCAGGTCCCAATGCCGTCAAAAACTGGGGAGTTAATGACTATATCCGCAGTCCCCCTACAGCTACCACGGGCGGCACGGATCAGAGCCTCATCCGTCCCATAAGGATGGGCTTGCTCGACGTGCCGCAACCAGGTTTCCAACTCCTGATTCCTCCGAAGAGGCTGGCTAGCTGGAACTTCTGCCCGGTAAGGCGGAATCGGGTCACGCAGGGTTATACCCTGATCTAGGGGACGCGGATTGACGGGCGCTCGCTGAGACGAGTGGTCAGTCGTGACCGCATGCACCCCCGCTTCTACCTGCGATGCAGAGGCCGCAGCTGGTGAATGAATGTGTGGTTCAGATGCCCTGGGCTCCAGTAATCGCACGATATTGGCGTACTGCCCTTCCAAGGCACTGAACCGAGAATTCAGCCGTTCGAATTTATCAACCAGCTCCTCATACATCGAGAGCGAGAGGTGGTCACGGGGTTCTAGCCTTTGCCCCGAAATCAAAGATTGAGCGTGATCTCGAGGAAACTCGGGGCCCTCAAGAAGGGTGTTTGCAGAGGATCCCGAGGACTCATTAGTGGGTTCTCCTTGGACGGTATTGCGTGTGCGAGGCATTCTGCGTCCCAGCACTTGCTCTACAACCCGTTACTTGGCGTGCGATAGACTTGCACAAAGGCTTGACCAGACACTTTATAGAAAGACTGTTTCTCCCACCGCTGCCTACCAAAAAGACAGTTGTAGCGGGGCGTAGACCCAGTAGACTTTAAGTGTCTGGTTGAGTCCTGGCTCAACCGAGAATATTGAGTTCTTTGCTCAAGGAAAGATTCGTCTGCAGTGAACAGATGTAAGGTTCCAGGCCTACGGCACGCTGCCACCACCCGATTAGTAGGTTCGGGAACCGTGTATGTCGTGTAAGGGTGTGGGTGTTGTATCAGAGAAGGGTGGAAAGAAAGTACAGAATGTGTGTGCTGAATGTTGGATGTGTAAGTGTGTAGATGTGAAAAGGGAGATAGCGTAGGCTGAGCGTCTGCGTGGACGTGTTTAGAAGAAAAAAGCAAGATCATAGGATTCTTCTTCTTCCCTTCGGTTTGAGCATCCGCCGCTGGGAGCGGGAACACAGGTATAGCTAAATGAATCTGTTCTTTTGATATCAGCTTAATATTCTCTGATTTATCTAGCCTTTTTACAGCCTTTCAAGGGTTGCGTGATGTCAGAGCAACCAGCGATGTGCTGTTTAGGAGACCCGAGTCCGAGAAAGATTTAGGCATCTAACCTTGGTCAGAACCAGAAACTTTAGTGGTGGTATAAATTATTCTGACTGGAGTTGAGTAAAAGCTCTAAGATGGTACGATGTTTATTTAGAGCAAGTTACACTCACTAGGGAATTACAGGCATTTTTCAGTCATGAGAAGTAGACAAAGGTGTGTGCATCACCAATTTATCACAGCGGCGGTGATGCACGAGAAATCAACACCAGATAAACTTACCACGATATATAAAAAATGTCTTCCCTAAGTTGGCGTCCCAACTCCAGAAGTACTGTTATTAGGGGGTCAGCATAAAAACATCCAAGTCCCTAAATTACGTTAAATTGTTAACATCCAACCCAAATGGATGTTAACTGTAAACCAAAGCTAATGCTGACGGATACCTAGTAAGAGTACTTGTGTGCAAAAGAATTAAGAAATAGATTAATAAGAAGGCTGAAAAAGTCAAGGAAGGGACTATTCACGAAGACTGCCTGAACACCCACAAGGTCAGACAGGAATCAGCCGAAACAACAAACGACAACAACAACAAAAATCAAGTATCATGTGATACTAAGGGCTCGTTATCAGGAGATACGGAGCAACAAAAGTCTGTCTGATCACCCACAAGGTCAGGCAGAAATCAACAGAAACATAACAAACAAAATATGTAAAAAGATCCTGATAACGATCTTTTATCCCCGGAGGACGGAT